ACACGTCCTTATGCCTTGACAGGAGGAATTCCATACGATAGATGGTCAGAAGGCAGGGTGGTTGCAGAGGTCACAAAAGGATATCAGATGCCAAAGCCTGATCATGTTGATAAAAAACTGTGAGTTGTACCACAGGAGGCCCAGACAAGCGACGAGTCTGGTTGTTTATTCGAAATATAAGGGAATGTATAGGAGAATATTAAAGAGTCTTATTATCGTAAACTTATATCATGAAATGTCTGAGTTAAAGCTCAAAATAAATGTAAACCTACCTCACTTGCTGTCTATTGTCGTTTCTGTGGCTCTAAATGGCGAATTTGAGCGATTTGGTGGGTTTTGCGTCGACTCGCTTGTCTCGGCCTCCTGTGGTACAACTCACAGTTTTTTTATCAACACGATCAGGCTTTGGCATCTGATATCCTTTTGTGACCTGTGCAACCACCCTGCCTTCTGACCATCCATCGTATGGAATTCCTCCTGTCAAGGCATAAGGAAGTGTGCATGCGATATTACTGAATATATCACTGATAAGGTTGTTGAAATTGTAGTCAGAGAGCTATAATTTTAATAATTGATTACAATTGTAAACACCTATCAGGTGAAATGATAAGAGTGCGTATAAACATTTTCCACGAAATTGCTGCGGCTGAGACGTGTTTCTTTTTTACTTCATTTTAAATAAGAAAGAAATCTGTATTTATATAGCTTGATGATGCCAAAATCTAGATTTTCCTCAATCCTGCATGTACATTCACATAGCTTGATGATGCTCAAACATAAATTTTCCTGAGTCAGTGTAGTTTAAAGTTTCCTCGATCGTTTTGGTTCGGTTTTTGTGGTAGTCGCTAACAAGTGAACGTTATGGAAGCCTTCTACTTCTTGTTTCATTTCATAAGATTAATAACTATCGATAAACAGTTTGCTATATATATATTAAAATGAAAACAGCGTCAATGAGATTTGATTTTCTGGTGTAAAAAGCATATGATCTGTACTGAACACGGGATGGTCCTAAAAACGAAAACTGTCTCATGTTTTGCCTGGAGGTTATAGAATTCGACCGGAACCCATAATTAGGGTTCAATTTTACAAAAGAAGCTAGACTACTTGATCATTCTTACTAGTCTGGGACATTAGTCAATTAACTTAAAGCAAGAGGATGTAAACCATCTATATTATCTTGTTTAAGGCCCATTCCAGGAGTGAAAGGCCTGGAAAAAAGTAAAAACAAATCTTTATTATAAATATTCTTATTGAACTTAGTTTGGCTTACGAAGGGTAACTATCTCATACAAAACGATTCCATAGGACCACCTAATGAACATAGTATCAAAAATATTCCACAGTTAACGCCGAGTGAATTTTGGATGTGAAGTAATAAGGAAAAAAAATCAAATTGGGTGTTCATTTTTTTGAGGTGATGGAATTAAGAATATACACAATACATACGCATCACTCGAAGTGGAAAGTCTAGCGAGATTTCCCAGCAGAATTTCTGGTGCAGTCCATTTGATTGGCAAACATCCCTGCGGAAACAAACATTGAAACTTCTGTTTAAACTATCATTATCATAATGTTATCTGTTTTGCTTTGTTTTTTGTTTGTTTTTTGTTATTTTTGCTGTACATCTTTTTTTAATATTTTCTTCAATATTAATTCTTCCTGGGTATGTGTTATTTTGCAAAGAAAAATCAGTGCTAGTGTAAACAAAAACACTGCGAGATGTTGAACACCAAAAGAATAGTTGGTCCTTCCTGCACTTCATTCGGTATGAGAAAATAAAGTTGTCAATTTTTTTGCGCAGGGGATGAAACAAGTAGGAGAAGAATGGCTAAAGAAAATGAGAAAAGCAATAGAGCTAAAAAATATTTTGGATCCTTGAACGGCGAGATGCATTAGAACTGATGATCTTGGAGAAAACAAGCGCATGATTAAATTAAGAGAAAGACTCCATTAAGATGGCAATCGGAAAGGCACATACAGGAGGTTTTGCTCGAATGAAAATCATGAATTAGTGCAGAATAAAGAAAGTATCCAAAGGAAACTTCTTTCGGATCAGTGCATACAGCCTCTAACAGAGTGAGTCGGAGACAAAAGAGGAAAAAAAGAAACTCAAATGAAGAGAAAATGAGAGGACTGAAGGGGGCAACCGAGTAGTAGCGATAGCAACGACTGAAGCTATTTGTAGCATTTGACGAGAAAAGATGTCTGCTTCCCCAGATCTACATTTGGGTTTAAAAATGATCTCCCTTCGAAAAATTCATATTTTACAAAATAAGAAGCTACGTAATATAATTATGTAAAATGTAAAAACAAAAATAAAGTTGCAATTCTTTGAAAATAGCTTTCAAGTAGCCCCATTAGAAAATAGAAAACGTACTTCCTTTCGCGAGACTTTCAACAAACAACTTCAGTGAAATTTATATTCCCCGATGTTTAGCGTTTCACTTTGTCTTTTTCCCTATTTTTAAGGTCAATGTGAACTATGAAAGCCATATTGGTGGTCGAGCTCAGTTAATTTCATGCTGAGAAAATGCTGGCGTTTACAGCTTGTTACTGGAAAGCTCCACAATAAAGCAACAACAATAACGACAACAACAACAACAAAAAGCATTTCCTACCCTTTTTAATTTTCCCTGGCCATATTTAAAGCTTTGACATGCCATGCCAAAGTCAGTCACTTTGCAAACATAGTTGTTATCGTATGATGCACGATCCTCGCAGTAGGGAGCGCTATTTATGAAATAGCGAGAATCAGACCTGAAAAGTTGTTATCGAGGAGAATGTTTCGGGCCGCAAGGTCACGATGGATAATCTACCAGGAGACAAAGATCCATGACGTGAACGCTTCTAAATTATTTGACTTCATGACAAAACGGCGAGTCAAACGTCTGAGTATGTGCAAAGAGAAAAGGACAACTACGCAGGCCATTATAGTTCTTCAAGGCTGTCACGACTAGGTCGTTTACCTTCTCAGGAAAAATGGCAAACAGTAGTGATGATGATGATAATTATGATAATCATAGTAATAATGATTATGACAGTAAAATAGAATATAGAAATAATAAACCAACAGAAAACCGCTCAGAAAAACAATTTACTCTTTTCATTACCTTCGTTTCTTGCTACAAATGTCGAGTGACGTTCCGTTTTTTTCCCTTTTTTTCTTAAAATTGGCAAAAAAAGCTCGGTTCTTGCTTTTTTTCTGTTCCTGTTAGCGCAGCGGAGTGTCCCACAACAGACCAATATCTAATATGGTTGGCGCGTATCCCACCATCTTACCAAACTATTATGAAAATTACACTCATATCTTTTTCCTCATGGAAGTAAATATACCTTTTGTACAAGTTAACACATTCATCAATAACGTTTAGTTATTCAAACGAGGTCCAACCCAACCACGGTTTCACCCGAGCAATGGGCGTCGGGTTTTCTCTATTATTTGAATAAATGTCCCTCGACTGCATGTTTTCGGCTTTCTCGGCTTGGATCATAAAAATAAAAGGCTCACACAAAAGGTTCACGATTATACT